TTTCCCTCCTTACCCTCCCCCTCCCTTGGGCTCAGGTTAAAAACCTCTGAGGTCAGGTTACATTTGAGGGAGGGGAGGATGTAGGGAGGGCTTCATATAAGCAGAGGGCTCAGGAAAGAGAGAGAAGAGATGGAGAAGCAAAGTAAACTAAGGACAGGGAGAGGAGCTTCTTAGCATCATACCTGGGACACAGCGGGGCTTCCATTAATCTCTGTGGATTTGAGGAGAGGTTAGGGAGTGAGGGATAATTGGAGACAGAGACAGAATTGGGAGGGGAAACCGGGAGAGGGAGTATTGAGGAAGGTGGAAAGAAAGGAAATGTAAATTAAAAGAGAGGTATGGAGGAAGAGAAGGTACAAAGAGATAGAACCGGAGACATTTATATAGCATTTAGTATGTGCCCTATATTATTCTAGACACTTCACATATGGTAAATTATTTAAGCCTCCTAATAACCTTATGAAGTGAGGCTTATTATGATTCCCAATTGACAAAGGAGGGAACTGAGGCCCAGAGAGATTAAGTAACACTAATACATCCAAGGTCCTGCAGCTGGCAAGTGGTGGGGATCAATTCAGGTAGTCTGGCTCCAGAGTCTGTGTTCCAGAGAGGTGTAACATTTTTTAACAAAAATGTTAAAACAGATATGTTTGCTTTCTCCAGGATGGTAGAGAGTTTGAGTCTTGGCTCTACTATTTACAGCCATGTGACCTTAAACTAGTCCCTTAACCTCAGTTTCCTCATCTGTGAAATGGGAATCATAATTCCTACTTCACAGGATTGATGTGAGGGTTAAATCAAGTGTCCAGCCCATGGTGGTGTGTAATGGTCATTTCTTAGCCTAGGAGTCCTCTCTGCCAGGAGTTTGAAGTTTCACCTTGGAAACTCAATTTACCCTTCCAGGAGAGTTTCTCTGAGCCTGCATCAGCACCTGCCCTGCCTCCCCTACTGTGTGGCAGAGGGCAGCAAGGAGGGAAAAGACTCCAGCTGGGAGAGGGCCATGGGGCTTGGAACCTCAGAGTGATCATTCTCTCATCCCTCCTTTTCCTTTCTTTCTCCTTAGGAGTCTTGGAGACCCAGTGAGCAGGCCAAGCAGGGCGGGCACGGAGCCTCCCAGGCCAGGGCAGTGGGCATGGGCAGGGGCTGTGGCTGAAGAAGTCCCCCGCCCACTGCAGACCCCAGGGGATTCAGCCTCCCACACTGCAGCGGCCATGGCCACCAATAAGGAGCGACTCTTTACACCTGGTGCCCTGGGGCCTGGCTCTGGCTATCCAGGGGCTGGCTTCCCCTTCGCCTTCCCAGGGGCACTCAGGGGGTCTCCACCTTTCGAGATGCTGAGTCCTAGCTTCCGGGGCTTGGGCCAGCCTGACCTCCCCAAGGAGATGGCCTCTCTGTGTGAGTCTCAGGGATCTTGGGGGATGAGGGCAAGTGGAAACAGGAGGGCATTTCGTGGGTGGATGATAGAGAAAATTGGTGCCCCAGTTAGGAAGGCAGGCAGGGCTGGGGGTTTGATCTAATGGAGGAGGTGACAGGGGTAGCCACGAGGGGGGTTTGGATGTGGAGCAAATGGACGTGCTTGCAAATGAGAGTTCTCCTGTGCAACTAGAATGGGAAAGTAGCACGCCTAAAATTTGGGGCTCTGCAGTTGCCTCCTGAATGACTCAACTAGCAGGGAGAACCCCTTTGTATGGGCAGCCAAGGGTGGGTCTGGTGAAGTCTGAGGCTGCTGCCTGCCTGCAGTGCAGGGTGTGGGGAGCCAGGCTGCGAAATGGAGGAGTCTGGGAGGCCAATACCCCAACTCTGTGATCAAGAGGTAAAATTGTTCTGAATTAGGGGGAGGCTGCAAAAAGAGGAATGGAACCAAGTGCTAGGTGCCCAAAGATGTGTAGGGTCAGGAAACTTCCCTCTTGGTTCCGGGGAGGGTGGAAACAGCCACAAAAAAGGTAGCTCTTGTACCATAAGTAATCCGGGGAGGTGCAGGGGGTGTTCCAGAAGCATCCTCTCCTCCAGCCATGTGGGTTGTGGGCTCCTCCCCTCTCTCTAGGTCTGGCACAGTACCCACATGCTGTGCAGATCCCTACTTGTCCCTCAGGCCTGCCCTCTTTGGGTGAAGCCTTTGAGTGCTGACAGCAGCAAGCCTTAGGCCTCTCTTCATCCCTCTGGATCCCTCTCCTTCCACTTGGTAGCTGTTCCTCCTCGCTAGGCCATTACAGGCGTGGGTGCCCGTGAGCTGGAAGGCTGGGATGCTGGCCTCAGTGTGGGAGCTGGTACAGAGAAGCCTCCACCTGGATAGAAGGGGAGGTGATAGAGAGAGGGGCAGTTCCAGAGAGAGAGAGAGAGGGAAAAGAAAAGACCAAAAGATAAAGACATCCTTTATAGCTCCACAAGCGGGGCGGGGG